TTTTTTTTACAGTGAGAGCACAGCAAAATTTGATCCTTGTTTAAGTCAATAATCACGAAAGCTGATTAATTAACAGAAAGATTGGAAACTAGTAAACGTAGAGTACTGTAGAGTACTGTATACAAGTATTCTTCGTCATGGCTTTGATCCTCCGCGCATTCTTCGTGGCTCATCAGTAAAGAGTGCTTTTTTGCCCTTGGATGAGGATGTTGAGGGTACCGATTATCGAGGAATTTACTGGTAGTAGATCAAATTGAACTGATCTTGTGATATCGACTTATCTGCCTTCGTACCTCTTCATTCGCGCAGGACTTCGTTCTCGTATCAGTGTGCCCTCCGTACGATCGTCGCGCAGTCGTGTTTTGGTCTTCTTCGTCATAGTACCATATAAGGAAGTGATCGCTACGCGGTCGCCATTATCTGTCCCCGGTTGTCAGCTGGCTTGATTCGTTGCGAATTTCATAGAATCGCTTCTACTCGAATATCGCCTTTTCGTTCAATCTATCCTTCCAGATGGCTTCTGCTGCTGCTCCTTTGAAGGAAGTTGTCACGGCCGCAAAGCGAATACTCATGTGCCGTCCTACTCACTTCCAGGTACAAACTGTGCAGATGAATCTATACTAATTGTGCTCAAATCATCTTTATATTCCAGGTGACCTACTCTATTAATCCTTGGATGGACATGAATCAAAAAGTGAACCGTCCCAAAGCTATGCAACAATGGGAAACGCTCAAGCAAACGCTAGAGAACTGTGGTGCTCAAGTGGACGTGATGGAAGCTGATGTAAGTATTATAGAACTCTATAAATTAGTAGTAGCATTTTACGAAAGATGACAAAGAATGATTATTAATTTAAACAGTAGTAGCAATGAGTCGTCGTCGATTCTCAGCATTTCCGAAATAAAAAAGTGAAAAGTTCGAGCGCTTTTTCAAGACTCAGTCATCTCATTTCTTTCGCTTAAGCTCGCTAGGTTAAAACGGGTGACACTTTAAAAGAAAGGTTGGATTGTGAATATTAACCTGTTCATTCGTTTGTTTAGCATTTGTATCATACAATCGGGGTGCACCAGGAAAAGATTGGAAGAAAAACAGCAAACACATAAAGATTAATTTAGTGTTGAAACAAAAAACAAACAAACGAATTTTTTGTAGTGAAATAGAATTCAGTTTAATTTAAAAGATTTTTTTGTTATAAAAATTTACAACCTTGAGATGAGCTACGCAGGATGAATTTTTCAAAAATTTTCCAAATGCTT